TCAGCTACTTTCGTCTCCCTTGGAGTTTGAAACAGCTTCCGTTGAGCACCGACTGCGTAAGCGAGAAGAAGAAGTCCGAACATATATCAGCTTATAGTTTTCGCCAAAGCCATTTAAAGGTTACTTAAGGAAATCGTATTCCTGATGGGGTGGGTTCCTTGAGTCCCAAGAGACTTTGATATTTCTCGATTCCAATTTTTGAAAAATACTAATGAACTCATCCGTTAAAACTTTATGTGAGACCACAAACAAATTAACCACTTGATCAGGCTTGGTGCGAGAAAAGTCCACAGCGGTGAGAAGAATGTCGCCCATCACCATTTTAGCTCTCCCCCTGAATCTATATATCAAATGGAGAACCTATTAATGATTACATATATATGGATTTTGCATTAGGATCGTTGTCACCTTTCAGCTACGCAGAGAAGTTAGTCCTCCGAATCTTTGCTATGCTCTTCCACTTCACTTTGCTTGATCAGGTTTTCTAATAGGCCATCCGAAAACAAAAGACGTACCTCTTCTGATACGACCTTACCAGGCTCTGCTAAGAGAACATTGTAATGTCTTTGTTTCAAATAGTGAAGAGTCTTGAGAAACAACTTGTGTTCTGAGAAGTTGTTTGAGATTATCATCAGATTTGCTGGATGAGGATTGTCCACTGCCCATAGAAGAATGTCCAAGAACATCCTAGCAACTCTTTTATGCGTTGAATCTAATAACAACAGAGATATAGATTAGATTCTAGACATATATGTAAGTAAAAACAGAGAATAAAAGACTAGGGTTTTTAGTAAATAAATTCACCTTTGGGTACGAATGAGATTTTGACTCCAGCCTCACGAAGTATATCTAGCAAGTCATCAGGTAACGTTTCATTCTGAACATAAGCTGAGATTGATACCTCACCACGATAACCCTTATTCTCAAGAGGTGATTTGATATTCTGATAAATCAAATGAGGACGACTATCATTAGGGGTTGAGCAATCATCGAGGTCCCAGAAGACGCCTGTGCTATCATCTGCTAGATCGATTAGATGAAATCTATTAATCCAGATATATATCACAACGTGAATTGATTAGATCCATTAAAATTTACTATGACTGATCGATCAGATGAAATCCAATCCAGATATAGACAAACAATTTCAAGGAAGAGCTAGAGAGAAATCTCACTTGCGAATTCTGTGGTCATGGTTTCGACGGAGATCGAGAAAATTAGAGACTTGTCTGAATGAAAGAACAAAAGAAAAATTAGGGTTTAGATGCGGAAGAGATAGACTATAGGTTGAAAGGGTGGGAATTAAGGGTTAGAGATATGGCTTGTTTTCCAAGACACTGATTTGCAGCCGTTGGATTTCACAAGGTCATGCCAATTTCGATTCTACCCCTAATTAACGTAACACACAGCCAAGTAGCTGAGGGTAATTTGGTAACTTCTTTAGTGTATTAATTAAGGCTTTTTGTCCGGGATGTTTTTTTTTTTTTTTTTTGAACAAGTCCGGGATGTTCTTTTCAGTTTTCATCATGTTACTAATTAGTGTTCACTGTCCAAAAAAAAACTTATTCGTGTTTGAAATAAACAACAGATTCATTTATATGAACAAAAATATGTATAAGAGATTAATACTATTGTAGTAACAAGTTTGTCGAATAAACCGGTATCGACCACATGGAGTCAGTGGGCATGAACTAAAAGAGAATAGTCATTACACATACTAGGGCCGGGCTTTTAAACCGAACCGAATGTACCGAACCGAAACCGAATAAAAAGAAACTGAACCGAACCGAACCAAAAATTTGAAAATAACCAAATAGATACTAAATTTGATAACCGAATCGGTACCGAACCGAAATATTTCGGGTAACCGAAATATCCGAAATACAATTATATTTTCGAAATAATTAGTTATTTATTGACCAAATAATCAAAAATACTTGAAAAATCTATAAAAATAGTAAAAATACTCAAAAATAACCGAAAAATATCCAAAAATATTCGAAAATACTCAAAAATAACCAAAATATCCGAAAATATCCTAAGCAAAATAACCGAATGAATACTAAATTTTAAAACCGAAAGAACCGGAACCAAACCGAAATTTCAAAATATCCGAATGGATACTAAATTTTAAAACCGAAAAAACCGAAAACCGAATGGATCCAACCGATAACCGAAAGCCCAGGCCTAACACATACACACTAGTGGGTAATTTAGTAACTGCCCGTGTCAAGCATGACCTGGGCCGCAGATCTCTTCTTCAGGTTCATTAGAATCCTTAGAGAACAAGAGGTGTACTTGGGCCAATTTAGGTGGAATTAACAGGCCTATTTCATGGTATACGGGCCATTCTACTATGTGGCCGATATTTCTTGGTTAAGCATTGCAATGCACATAAACGGACCATGGTGATATCTTATCGTTCTTGTTAAGCATGGTGATATCATAGTTGCAGGACGATAGGAGAGCTTAGAGATCCGAGTTTAATAAAAATGATGAATTTTAATCTGAACAAAACATTAACTTATTATGGTCAGAATGAAGGAGATCTGCAAAGAGGATGATCCAACATTTCCTAGAGTTTTGTTCTTAGTCCTCAAAAGAGGATGATCGATCAACAGAGGAATGACGAAATTACAGACAAACAGTAGTGAACATTTTATTCTACTTGCAGCAATACTAAATTAATTAGTCTCCAACTAGTGGTAATGTCATCATAATGCCGCCTAATCCATAAGTTAAGGCCTAAGCTCTTCCAAACCCACTTCCAGGTTGAACAATGTGAAACATGTAATTTTTCTTGGATTTCAAAAGTTGAACAACCTCAATGAAGTCTGGAGAGGTGTCTTTCATGATTAGCATCAAATTTGATGGTTGAGGATGTTCAGCTGACCATGCAATGATGTCTTCAAGCATCTTCGAATGTCTCGCGTACCTCTCTCCTGAAACAAACAAGTCAGATCTGATCAAAGATACATACATTCACAAACAAGTAAGTAAAAAAAGACAAGTTTTTAACCTGCAGGGAAGTGATTGAGCTTAATTCCCTCAGAGGGAAACTCATGACCCGTCATATCACCATACGCCCTTATTGAGACTGTTCCATGATGACCAGCCCTCGAAATGGTCAATTTAATGTTCTGCAAAACCTGACTAGCATTGAGGTCAACATCAATCTTGCAATCTTCTATGTCCCAAAAGATACCTGTCTCAGCCGCTGCGATAACCAAAAAAAAAGGAAATTACTATAAAACGGAGAATATACTTACTAAAACTACTTGCTAGGTTTTAGTGACAGAATCTAATCTTGAGATCTAGAGAGTTATGAAAACAACACTTCTAACGGAGATACAAAGAGAGAGAGAGAGATAGAGATTTTACCTGCGTAATCGCCGGGAAAAGCAGACATTGTTTTGCCGGATTGATAGAGAGAGTGTTTGTTTGGTAGGTGAGAGGGTTTTAGATCTGTGGTTGCGGTTGAGTGAAATTTACGCTTTGTTTTCACTGGCAACACTGGTCGTCGTGTGCTAATTTCGATTCTACCCCTTGCCACACAAGACACAACCATGTAACTGACTGTGGGTAATTAAGTAACTTTGTTTGTCAATTCAGGAAAAGCATCACTTGGGCCGCACCATGGCCCAAAACTCCTCATTAAAATCCTTGAGAGAAGAAGAGTTATACTTTGGGCTATTTGAGGTGGCCCTATTTCATTGTAAATGGGCCTTGTTAAGATATACAAATGACGGATTTTCGTTCTTGTTAACCATCGAAACGAATCTCAAAGTTGCATGGCCCACCCCATCACGATTTCAAGTATTTTAATTAACTTTCCAACCCCTACCAAGAATTGGAAACTGAAACTCTTTTTATTGATCTTACTTCTTTAGATCTCTGATCTGGAATATAATTCGGTTCAACCTAGAATTCTATCTAACGATAACCAAAACTTAAAAGTTAAATTAAATATGTACATGTATGTGTAAGAAAACGACATCACATCTCTCCTCCAACTCCCACTTTTGCTTTGCGTTTAAGTTAGTTAAGCTATGCATAATTTTCCTCTAACAAATTCAAATATTTATAACGATCCAAATCGAAACATAAACATATCACACAGTTTCAAATTAGAGCTTCGAATCTAGTTTACTTGCTCTTCTACAGTACATGATCAAAATCATGGACTCGAGATGTTATGGCTTCTTCTTTGCTCTGTTCTCTTTAACTGTGGTTGCTCTTGCTTACGATCCTGACACTCTTCAAGATCTCTGCGTTGCAGATCACACTTCAGGTAAACATATCTTCAAAATTCAATTTAGTGTTTACTGTTTACTTTGAATGATTAAAGTAATGAAATATCGTTGTTTTGGATTATGTAGGGATCAAAGTGAATGGTTTCACATGTAAGCCCGAATCAAACATCACCGCCTCAGATTTCTTCTTCGCCGGAATCGGAAAACCCGCCGTCGTTAACAACACAGTCGGGTCAGCCGTCACGGGAGCAAACGTAGAGAAGATCGCAGGGCTTAACACGCTCGGAGTCTCACTCGCGCGTATCGACTACGCTCCCGGAGGTTTAAACCCGCCGCACACGCATCCACGCGCCACTGAAGTGATCTTCGTTTTGGAAGGCGAGCTTGACGTCGGATTCATAACGACGGCGAACAAGCTATTCGCTAAGACGGTGAAGAAAGGAGAAGTTTTCGTCTTCCCGAGAGGATTGATTCATTACCAGAAGAACAACGACAAAGCGAAACCTGCGTCGGTGATCTCTGCGTTCAACAGTCAGTTACCGGGAACACAATCGATTGCCGCCACGCTATTCACGGCCACTCCGGCGATTCCTGATCACGTTTTAACGACGGCGTTTCAGATCGGAACGAAAGAAATCGAAAAGATCAAATCCAAGTTTGCTCCCAAGAAAGTCTAAAAATTGCGTTTGTTATATATATTTTTAATTTTATTAATTTGTTTTTAATAAAGGGAAAAAAAAATAGCTTACTTATTAGAGTAAGCTGCTGAATCAGCTGGAGGGTTTTAAGCAATCCATATAAGAAGAGCACAAACCTATAAACAGAGATCTCTCTACAAAGCAAACAGACGAGGGAGAGAAAGCTGTACAATTTTTTATACACTAAAAGCTCTGCATAAACCAAACAATATAACTTTGCCTAGATTATACATATATATGTATGGACACTGAAACCCAAAATCACACTTTTACTTATCTATCCTGAGGTTATTACAGAGATGTCCAAGTTCCGGCCGTGACTTCATCCAATCCAAGAATTTCATTTCTTCAGGTGACGTGCAATAGAGGTATGATCTGAATGTTATCAGGTAAAAGTAACGCCTGCTCATACAAAACAATCATATTATTTGTTTGGATATGGGAAGAAATGAACTTCAAGGTTTGGTTTGGAGTTGAGTAACTAACCTTAAGGCTTTAACACCCATGTCCATGATGTATGAACGGTTTTCATCTTTTGTAATAGGAAGCTTGTTGAGTTCTTTACTGTAGTAAACGATGTCTTCTCTCAAATGTCCTGCACCAGCACACCTATAAAATGCCAAAACAAGACGATGCAATCATGAGCGATGTATTCGAAAGTGAAATAAAATTCTCAAAAGAGACTGATTGATTGCATACAGTTCGACTATTCCATCTACGTCTGATTTGCTCTGAGGACCATGAGAAAGCACTCTTATGAGACTCAGTATGTCGCGGTAGTCTCCCATACTCAACGCTTCTTCATCACAAACCCGTGAAGGCGAATCATCTTCTTCTAAGGTAGAAGAATCTGTGGTTGGTGTAGCTGTGAAGTTCTGACCAGGTTGAAGTAGGAGACAAGTTATGGCCATTGCATAAGAAACTCCTCCAAAACCGGTGTGCGATACAAACAAGTAACTCCCAGCGGAACTGTGTTGAAAACGTCCACAAGTTAACACGGAAGAGATTTGGTAAATATGTAAAATGTGAAAGAATAAAACAGATGATTGATACTTACTCGTCTTTACAGTACTGGATCGCGTCTACATCGGAAGCTAATGCATCTTTTTCTCTGGTTAAAGGTATTCTGCGGTAAGATATGTTGTAATTTTCATCTTTCAGTGCAGCATATACTTCTGCAGGTGTCTTCACATTATCTGGTTGAATATTCTCCCAATATCCAATAACCCGAGATTGATTAGATGCCGGGCTGTATTCTTCACGATGCAATAGCATTCGGCCTCCAGTCTCTCGAACTTCAGCCAATATATCTTCTTTTAACCGTGATTCTATGCTTTCTACCTGCATTAATGATACAAATTAATAAAACTGCTTTTGCAATTTGTATAATTATTAGCTGTGATTGAAACATACCACTGCACCAGTTATTCCAACATGCTTAAGCGTATCAACAGGTTTACTCAATTCTCTCAAGACAAATGGAGTTCCATTGATATAAACAACCGCTTCTTCTCTCAAGTCTGTTACTACTATTCTTTCTGTTGAAACCCCACCTTCTTCCTTTAGTTTGGTGCCTAAATAGGCGAGCATCTTTTTAGCGCCTGAAATTGTGGGAGTTGCCATGCTATACACAGGATATCTATCGACCTGAAATGAACGTTATGTCATGGTTAAGTATGATCATTTTACGGTTACCAGTAATCAGGAAACCACACAAGAATCGCATTTCCTTGAAGCCTACCTTGTATACGTGAGGTGCACCGTTAATTTGCAAACGACTTGAAGTTCTTTGGCCAGGGAAAAAGTACATTTTAAGTATAGAACCTTTTCCCAAGACAGAACCACTACGTTCGTTGACAATTGACTCCATGACTGCATCTCCGTGTTGCGATTCATGTTGTGCCCGCAATTCCTCCTACATGAAAATATTCAAAGTTGTAACACGCAAAATAAAGAAGATTATACAGTTTCCCAAGACTGAATAATGAGACATTTGACTCACAGGAATGGTAAAAAATCGTCCAGGTCTTAGCCTTATGCTCCACTTCATTGCTTGCACCTCAGGCCTCTGATTCAACCAATTCTTGAACGTAACCTTAGATTCTCCTTCCACAAAGAATCCATCAAAAGCTTTGCTTCCTAGATAGGCTGCAAAGGCAATCAAGCGGAAGTATCTCTCCAAATATTCAGCGCCACGTTTCAAGGCAGCACTCCTTACTCGTGGCTCAACATGTTGTTGGTTGAAAACCTTTCTGTACTGCAGAACAGCTTCACGAATATTTTGCAATGCAGAACATCTATCAATCACAGCATCTAAAGCCTCGCGGGATTCAACTCCATTATCGAATAACCTAGTGATTTTCCACAGCAAAAGGATGTCATCCATTCCAAATGCACGACCTTGTTCCTCCTCAGTTCTTCGTCCTGAATTACGAGGTCTTGCTTCAGCGTTATTACTTCCAGTTTCTTCACCACCACTTGAGGAATCTTCATCCACAATGTCATGGGTCAGAACGTCATAAAGAACCTTGATAGGTCTCCCATAATTGATGCGGAGCTTCACTAGACAGGCAATGACAGTTCCAGTGGTTGTTCTACCTCTCCCCATCTGTGAATGTCGAATGAAAAAGGAAATTTTGTAAGTTGAACAGATAAGCTAGAGAGGATTACCAAATATATCGAAATACACAAGTAGATTGGGACGCAGGAGGGAACTCAACCTGGCAATTGAAGACAAAAGCAGTGTCTTTGGAAGCAGAAGCAATATTAGATGTCAATGTGTCAAAGTCTGAGCTTTTGGGCGCTTTACCATCAGTTATAGGTACACGTGCATACTTAATAGGAAACCCATCAGCCTCTAAACATTTGTAGACCTCGAGGGGTGTTTGAACAGAATCAGCATCCACATTTTCCCATAAATCAAAAATCTGTCCATCTTTGGTTTCATGAATGACCATTATCGCACCGTCATATCGCTTAGCTTCTCTCAGAATATCCTCTTTTAGACGAGCCTCCATTCCTTCCACTCTATCTCGATCAATTCCCTACATAGAGGTATTTCTGTTAAGCTTTCTAACCAATCCATAAGAGCTGAAGAGAAATTGGGGATAATCACTCAAAGGTATTGCATCTAAATAGAATCTGAAATATACTTAAAACACACAGATTATTACCGTATATTCTAGCATGTTCTTATATGGCCTTTCAACTTCACGTAGAACAAATGGTTTCCCGTTGATATATATAACAGGTTCTTCTCTCATATTGTGCCAAAAAACTGGCCGACCACCTCTGGAACTCCCAACCCTTTCAATGACAGATCGAATACCATCTATAGTTGGATTCGCAACACCATATACAGGAAATCCTGGAACCTCCCTAAAATTCGGAGCTCCTTCCACCCTCTCTGGTAGACTTAAAATTTGACAGCCAGGACTATGATCGCTCTTTAGAACAGTTTGACTTCCCAGAACTGCCCCACTTCTAAGCGCAGCAACGACACTCATCTCGTGAGGGCGCCCGTCGGTAGATTCTGCAAT